GCGACTGCCATTAAAAATAAAAAAGATTTTTTTTATATATATATATATATATATATATATATATATATATATATATATATTTCTGAATTAAGCTAGTACTCAATCAACACAAACTCGGCACACCTGAAAAAACGATAGGTGCGTAGGAAAAAAGGTCCAACAAAACTGTCATGTCCAAAATATAAAAAGATACAATCCCCCACACTATCAATTCTTGCTAAATATGAAAGTTTATTGACAACAGCAACGTTGGACGAAACGTTGCTTTTTTTAATAAACTTCAACATTTAGCAAGAATTGATAGTGTGCGGCATCTTTTTATGTTTTGAATTTTTAAAAAAAACTGGTGTTTTGCGGGATGCACAAGGTGACATTTAGTTAAGCTTTCACTGACAGCTGTTCCGCTGAACCCACCGAACAGTCTGAAGAAGGCGGCCATCTCCTGCCTCTGGATCAGCAGGGTCGGCCCGGGCGTCTTCCTGCGAGGCTGACGAGCGGAGTCAGGCTGGTTCCGAGCCGCTGTGTTCGGCCTTGTTCTCCGCGGGCCGCGCCGGATCTGCAGGCTGTGAGCAGGTCCAGACGGTGCGGTTTCTGCCCACGCTCGGCTCAGTTTAATCATGTTTCAGCGATTAAATCAGCCGATATTACAGAACTGCCACTGTGTGCATATTATAATTGAATTAATTATTTGATATTTATTTTTAGTATAAAAGACATGCGTATTTATGTTATTCCTGTTTGTTCATAATCCCAGATATTTTCTAAATATAATTTAACGTAGTCTTAAAATCTATCACCTAACTAGATAAAAATTACTCTTAGCACTACTATATAACTCAAAAGTAAGCTTAAATGTTTATATGCTTAACTTTATGTGGCTATGATAATTTTTAGCGAGTTTTCACCAGTAAACAAAATTTACCTCAGTTTAAAAAACCGCGGCTCAGAAACTAATTAAGACACGCGCATGATTTCACGCGCTCTCAGAAATGTTTAGATCGACTACTGGAGAAGGCAAGATTGCAGTTTAGCTGATGTGTATAACATTAATGATAATTTAAAGGTGAATTAAAACGAAATCAAAATGTTAAATATTTCAAACTGGACGTCGCGCGATCGCGCACGTGCACTTCCTCTCCCTTCCCGGGCAGCGCGGGAAATGTGTCAGCAGTCACATGGTCAAATATTCTTCAATCAGAGGTCAGAACACTCAAGAAAAGCTCAAGTTGGTTATATCTAGGAAGATATGTCCTACATGTCCTATTAAAAACCTTGCTGTTTTATTCATAAAAAGTTTTACAGCAAATGCAAATAAAATCTTGTTCTATCATTCAAGTGATTAGTGAACAAGTAAACAAAATATGGACGAGAAGCAGTAAATTATCAAATAAACAAAGGTATTACATCTTTGTTGGTTATTAGATTTTGCTTATGATGGTTTAGACAGAGTATAACACACAATATTCTAGAAAAGTAACACCGCATTGCCTGCATTGGAAAGAAAAAATATAGACTGACCACAGACTGATTTATTGAAATATTTGGAAAAAAATGTGGTTCTTCAGGACAGAGCAATACAATTTATTTACACATGCTCAAACGGTGACAGGTTTGTTCGCTATTACCAGGAAACAGTAGATGAAGTATCAGGGATTGGTATTTATATGCACTGTGCTCACAGATGTGTTCAAGGATTTTCATTGCTTTGCACACTGCCTTTATTTCCTGAAAGAAAACACATTTAATTAAAGGTTGGCCAGGCCTTTTCAAGTAAAATATCTGTACAATTTAAGTAAAAGAAAGAGTTTTAGTTCACCCTTTTAATCTCATGGAAAACCACACCCTTGAACTCATGAATTGACTTCTTGCAAACCCAGCACATAATGGCGTTCATGTCAGACTTCTGGTGATGGTAAAAATGTAAGAAATGCAAGGGGGGAAAAAATTATAATTAAAATCTATTGCATTACATTATGCATCAGTTTACCTCTATGTTCAATTCGTGACTCATTTTGACTTCTTTGGGAAGGTTCAGTTCATTTCTTTCCAGCATGCTCTTCCATTGTGCCTTGTTAATGCTGCTGCACCCAACAAGAACTGAACCACAAAAACAGATTACACTTGTGAGCAGAATTTGATTAATATGATACTACTAATAAAGTAAATGCAAATCAATGAACGAGCCATAGAAGACATTTTAAGTTGAATTCAATTAGTTCTTCAGACTCACCTGAGCATGCAATAAGCAGTCCAAAATGAACAACAGGTGACATTATTCTTCAAATCCTCTACTTAATAAGTCGCTTAGCTAAAACACTGAACACTTTTCTTTAAGAGTTCAGGTGATTTTCAGTTCAAGTGAAACTGAATCTGTCTCTCTTGTGTTAACGTCCTCTTCACAGTTATGAAGAACGTTGAAGATAATAAATGTCTATGCAAGTCTTTTGGAGTGCTGATGTTCAAGGCACCAAAACCACTGTGGACCAAAGTGTCAAGCGTGTTTTCATAAGAGCTCCGGTCAGCATTTTCTACACTGACTGTCTCTTCAGTTCACCTAACCATCAGTAATATTGTACCTGAATTCTTGAATCATTGATTTTTCATGTATTAAATTAAAGCTGGTGTACAGATATAAAATCACTAAATGGCACTAGTAAATGGCTAAATAACAATCAGACTTTTTGTTTCAGATGTCAGTTATTTGCTTCCTTTTCTCTTAATGCAAGTGAATTTTAGATGTATTTAAAACACAGAATGTATCATCTGCTCATGCTGCTTTTTCATTCAGAATATTTATTAGCTCATGCTTCTGACAAAACAAACAAGTGAACAATCTTATCTAAAGATCTAATACTTTGATTGACTTGTTAGTTTAGGTTTAATCAGTCCTTAAATTAGCACATTTTGTACTTAATGCAGGATTTTTCAGGGGATAGTTTTGGGAAAAATCCTTTAAAAACTTTTTTTTTGATGATTTTGGCAAGCGATTTACATGGTTTCCAGAGAAATTTGTTGGCACGGCATACAGCATTTATTTTCTGAGTGAGGAAACAAAGATAGTTTTAATAAATTAAATTTACATTAGTACATAATTTACTGTGAACCATTTCAGAGAGAGAATTAATAACAGAACTGTAACCATAATATGACTACTATAATACCAAATGCAATTTCCAAGTATGGCTTATAAAATTACATTCATAAACATTTTTAAATAATAATGACTAAAATGCATAAACATTGAGCTTTGTTCGAACAAAGAATAAAAATAAAAAACAGATTCAGGAAATTACTGAGTAAAAATGTACCTTGTCAATCAGAGCATTTATCATGGGTAAATATTTTGCTAGCGTTTTCAGACATATACAACATTTTATGGCGATCTAGAAAGAGAGATTACAATTAGATGCAAATAAAAATAATAAAGAGTGGTGATCAAGGGGAATGTATATGCCAAACTTATTAACTTTACCACCACACTAACACAAACTGTATAGTGTACAATATTTTACCTTTAAAAAAAAAAAAAGCATGTTGAAGCTTTATGATACACAGATTCACAGATTTTACCTTGGAAGGATTACAATCATCCTCATTGTCATGGGAGGTGACTGCTTGTAGCATCTCATGAATGGCCTCATATGGAGAACTCTCAGCAGCAGCTGCACAAAATATAATTTCATATAACTACATTAAAAATCAAAATACAATCCTGCTTTAATATCCCACTAAAGTTCAATTTTTTTTGACAAGATCAAATAAATATGTGCCAAACAAGTGCTAAAACATTTCTAAAATCTTACCAAAGAGAATCATAAATGATCCAACGATACAGGCTAGATACATTGCAGTTCCTTTTTTTGTAATTTGTTTATTTCAAAGTGATAGTGCACTTCAACCGTGTTTTGTCTTTGGTTTTGCTGATGTGTGCACAGACAAAATTGTTACATGTGTGAAGTTAAGTCAGTTAAACCCTCATCTAACACTTCATATGCTCTTATGATGTAACAAAAGTATTCAGATGCTGATCACTATTATTATATTAGCCTGTTTGCATTCTGAGTCAAATTCCTTATAGTATAATGTTAAACTTCATTTGTCTAAAAAAAAATGCAATCCTGTCTGATAGTTCAGTGCTAAATTCCCAAGGTCAGAAACTTCAACAGTGTTCAAAGTGTGTTTTACAGTAGTGTCCCCTAACAGTAAATGACACTATATAAATGATGATTTTACTATTACTATTATTTTACTAGGGGTAACAGCTTTAAAACTCTCCAGGCATCATAAACTGTAATGTGCAATAACCAAAGTGGAACTGTGTGACTGAGAATGACAAGGAAACAAAATAATCAAGTTTAAAGTGTAAAGCAACTTTTTGAAAAAACAAAAACAAACAATTGTTACAGAATTGCATATTTTTTAATTCATGTACTGTACAATCTTTACAAATCATTTGGCTATTATGACATTTGACTCTTCAGTACAATAAACATCCATCCAGTAGAACATTTGAAAGGCATTTCTGATTAAATGCAACTCTTAACTGCATTTCTCAATCTTTTCATTTCTGCGGTCACATAGCCTCAGCACTCTGCAGGTGCCCATAATAGTACGTCCAGGAAAAAGCACCCTCATTATTGCATTTTTGTAACGTTTGGCTACAGAATAGCAGAGGGGACGGAAAATAAAAATCCATTTACTGCAGGTTTTACTGATTTCCTGAAAAACATAAATAAAAACAGAAGACCCAATAGCTGAAAAACATTCAAAGTCAATGAAAAAAATGTATATGCACACTTAAAATACAAATAGACATGGCAGTGGATTGATATCAACTAGCACTTATTTATTTTCTCAAATAGTTAAAAACAGCTTTGTTAATGTAAAAACATTTCAAATGAGCTTGTAACAGTCAATGTAAATGTATCCCTTCAACAGACATTGCCACAGTTGTTACGAGCATAACTTTATCTTCAAACATGTGCCCCTTGGACTCCCACCAGGGAAGAGCTTGTGCAGTATGATGTCTCGATATCTCACTGCACGTTGAAGGCAGATCTTTCGAAAAGCCTCAATGAATTTGTAACAGACATAGTTTATCTTCTGTAAAAGAGCAGGAAGAAAACTTTTGTTAGCCAAAAATTTAATTTCATCATGTTTTTTATTTTCATCTTTATTTACCTTTTCTTTTTCTTTTTTTATCAATATGATGTGTATTTTTGTATTAAACAATTGTCTTGAACATTGTCTTTCACGGATGTAATTAAAAAGATGCCCTATCATGGCACAAGCTGTTGAGTGAATAAATTCATATTGATGTTACTTCTCACTATTTTCTTATAATACTCATTTGCTGTAAATCCTTAAAGTAGGATCTTAAAGTATAATCACTCATACTTTACTCCAGATTAAGATATTACATTTGAGCTCAATTATTGTAAAGTAAGGCTTTTATTGTGAATTGTTATTTTAACTCATCATTATAATTGTGTAAATGTCATGATGATCCTGCTTTACATAATGATAAACTGTCATTAGAGCCATTAGAAACATTATTAGTCAGACAACTTAATGTTACCTGTTGGATCTTTTGGTAGACTGCGGTCTTAGCCTGTTTTATAGCCTCTTGGCACACACAACAGAAGATGATGTTCGGACGAATTTTCTGAATATGGGATGGGGAATGAGGTCAAAAAATAAGAAACATTATATTCAGTGATTTGAATGACATCTTGTGAGTTTTATGCTAAATGGACATATTAATCAATGAGTATTATTGGCAAAGTGTTGTACATACCGGTAAGTCATTCCCATAGCCATCCATCAAACTGTTTAAGGTTTCAGAATGTGAAGGCATCTCTGGATCCCACCAAACAGAAAGAGCTTCATTTTCACTCTTTGCTAGGGCTTTTCAAGAAAAGAAAATTATAAAATCATTATTTTAATTCACATAAACTGAATGTTGATAAAGTTCTCATAACATAGTATATACAGTAAACCAAAGACTTTACACAGACCCAAGATTTTCAGGAATATTGCAATTGGATCTTACCTGAGCAAGAGATCAGAAAAACAAAATATATGCTTGGTAACATGGTTTCAGATGCTTTTAAAATAATCAGGTACTGACTCTTTCTCAATTTCCTATTTGTTTTCTTTTGCTCACTAGTCTCGCTCTCTCTCTCCCCTTCACTAAGAAAACTGACCAGTGTAGTGTGTAAACCAACTGTGTGACACCATTGTAACTGAGTACACTACTGTCTTATGAAAGTTTATGAAATCATGCCATTGAAGTCACTGCAGTGTGATTAGGATAATAATTCTATCAAGCCATTGATGTCACTGCAATATGATTGACAATTCTTGCATGCGCAACAGTGTTTATGTCATAAAGAGAACATGAGAAAGCCTGCACTTAAAGTGTGCACTTTTTTTTTTTTGATGACTGAAAATGTGTTAGCTGTTCTTTTCACCTGGAGAGTTAAACTGCTTACTCATGTCATGTAAAGGAGCTGACATCAAGTTAAGCAATCCCACAACACCACAGTGCTAAACGGCTGCTTTATATATTGTTACTCTGATAGAATCATTTCTTTTTCTTTTAGAAAAACTGTATTATACTGTTTTTCCTTTAGAAAAGTGCAGCAGAAGCAATTAATCCAAGAGACAAAACCATACAAGAAGTGCATCCATTGCAGTATCATGTAAAACAGTAGATTAATCTTACTAATTTTACTTCTTTTAAATTCTAAAAGTTCAGGAGAAGGATGTTCATCTATCCCTATCAATCATAAAGTGTTACAATACACAAACATCAACTAGTTTAAATCCTGTAACAATTCTTCTAGTGGAAAGTTGTTGATAAGCTCAATGAGAACAGACCATTTTTTCTTTTCCATGTCATGTAAAGGAGCTGACATCAAGTTAAGCAATCCCACAACACCACAGTGCTAAACGGCTGCTTTATATATTGTTACTCTGATAGAATCATTTCTTTTTCTTTTAGAAAAACTGTATTATACTGTTTTTCCTTTAGAAAAGTGCAGCAGAAGCAATTAATCCAAGAGACAAAACCATACAAGAAGTGCATCCATTGCAGTATCATGTAAAACAGTAGATTAATCTTACTAATTTTACTTCTTTTAAATTCTAAAAGTTCAGGAGAAGGATGTTCATCTATCCCTATCAATCATAAAGTGTTACAATACACAAACATCAACTAGTTTAAATCCTGTTACAATTCTTCTAGTGGAAAGTTGTTGATAAGCTCAATGAGAACAGACCATTTTTTCTTTTTGTGTGCAGGTGATTGCAGTAGAAATGATTTATCATGTAGTTCCTAAACATTTGGTGACTTATGATGAATGATTAGGTTTCTTTCAGGTCCTTTTGTTGGATTCATTTAGTTTTGAATTGGCTAATCAAATCTTTGTCTATCTGTTTGTTTGTTTGTCATATTACATTATGAAGCTAGAATTTTGTTTATCAAAAATATCTGATATCACTGGATGAAATTATTGATAAGTTAAAAGTACTGATTGTACACTTAAAAGATTAGTGTCAAAAGAATAGTGTCAGTAAATTATATATATATATATAAAGAAATTACTCTAATCTCCACATCATTGCTTTACCATCTGTCTAGAATTTTTTAATCTTTGTTATAATTTTATATAAAACTGGAACTCTGCATATTTTTCTACGTGTTTTTGCTTTTTACCATAGCACATATTTCTTGAAATGTACATGTAGTGAACTTTTTCAGTATTTGATGAATGTTTGATGTTCACTACAGAATGTTAAAGGAATTGGCGGGGCAACAATTCAGTTTATTTGCATATGCCATAAACATTCCTCATGGTGTATAATACAATTATTTCTAAATTGCCAAGACATTGTTTTTAATTCTTGCCTAAATATGAAAAGTTTATATAAACTGTTATTAAATAAGAATGAAATTACATTAATAACAACATAATTGAAAAGAACTGAGGGTAAATACCACATATAAAAATTCTTAATGATGCAAAATAGAAAAATACACTAATCTGTGACAAATCTCCTGACAGTTGCGCCAGTGAAATGATAATGAAGTGATAATTAAAAAATTATCTGACTAGTACAGTTAACATCTGCAATTTTTTTTAAATATTCAGAATTCTGGGTTTTGATTTGTTATGAATCACTTCGAATACTAGAGCAAATCTCACCTGAACAGAGTAGAAGGGACGCCAGGAGAAAAACAAGTGATTTTGTCATCTCTGTGTCAAACTCTTCAATAATCAGTATAGACAACTGCCCGCTATTATGCCTGAATACTATATTTATATGGTAAATTAGGGAAGTTAGAGAGGAGATTCCAAATGCTGACACACAACATCTTGATATACAATAGTGCTGTCAGCTTATTTCACATGAAGAAGCTTTTTACACACACTTTATGCCCTTGGTGTGCTTGTTTCAAATGTGCACTTGTAGCGTATTTCATATCTTAAAAGTATTAAAAAAAATTGTACTTAGATATATAAAAAATCCACTTAAGTGTATTTAAAGAGAAAACACTTTCATGACTATTTCTTGAAATACATTTAAAAAGTGCACTTTGTAATACTGTCAAATGAAAAGTTTTAAAGTAGATTTTAAATCATTGTTTTAATACTCTTAAAAAAGTACACTAAAGCACATGTGAAGAACTTGATTGTAATGTATTTTTCTATATTATACTTAAAGTTAAAGGGATAGTTCACCCAAAAATGAAAACTACCCCATGATTTACTTACCCTCAAGGCATCCTATTAAAAAATGTCCTGGCTCTTCCAAGCTTATAATGGCAGTGAATGGGTGTTATTTTTCAATAGTCCATAGTGCATCCATTCATTATACAAAGTGTCCCACACAATCCATTTTTGTAAGAAAAATATCCATATTTAAAACTTTATAAGAAGCATGGGGTATAAGCATTATGAATAAAAGTAAGCAGATGAACTGAAAAAAAAAATTGGTGTAGAGTTTACTTTTAAACCGTTTTCAATCAGAAATCTCTAGTACATTTCACAAAGTATAACACATTGAATTAAACAAAGACTTCTGAAAAGCTATTCCAATAATATGTATTTACATTTTTAGTTACTGATCTTTAAAGAAGAAAGAAAATACCTTCCTGCATACACAATACCGTCACATCCTCTTTTCATAACACATAATTATTACATAAATATAATTCATTTATCACACAAACATTCAAATGGCATGGCAGTTGCTGAACCTCTTTTAATCAGCTATTAGACTCTCTTAATCAGATATTATGATAGTGATTAATATGGCTTAATCTGTAAGTCTTTCTTTTCCCTATTCCACATTCCATTGCTAATTAAATTAAATTGGTATACATGCATGATTTAAAGTAATTTAGTTTAGTGTCCATTGAACAGACACATCTTACCTTTTTTGTCTATGTTTTCAAATGTAAGATGTTATATACAAACCTATGTGGCTCCTAAACACTAGGAAACATTAGTTTATGTATGTTAATATTCTCCTCAAAGCATGAATAATATGTAATCTGCACATAAACAAAGCAAAATGACTTTTATATTAGTGCATTCTCACCATAGAAACCCCAAATGCTGCCTCTGGGGATTTTAATCATGTTTCTGTTTTTTTTCCCTTCTTCTTCTTCTTCTTCTTGGTTTGTAGACAATTGGACCAAATATGCCCTGGAGAATTTATATTCCAGTGTCAAGAAAGAACAACATAAAGGTGGAACTTGCACAGTGCATGTAAACGTGGAATTGTTTTGAACAGCACCAGTGATCCCACGGAGATGTTCTACCAGTCTGTAATGAGCACTGTGTTTTGCTGGTTGAACAACAACAGCTCAGACCTTTCCAGGCAACTGATCAAACTAATTAGGGAGGCCAACTCTATTATCAGATTCACTTCAGACTCGCTGATGGCAGTGACACAGAAGAGGACGATGGCAAAACTAGAGTCACTGATGAACAATGGCTGCACTCAGCTCATTTAGTAAATTCCACCTGCAGCCGTCAGACATGTACAGCGCCTCCTTTTATACTGATTGGTGTAATGATCCTGAACATGTACCTGCTTAAGAAAGATTCTTCACTAGTACTACCTTGTGCACTTATATGTTACCCAGACATTATTTATTTTTATTACACAACACATCATGACATTCACTTATCAGTAAAATGTAACTCAGAGGATTCCATTATTAATATTATTGTAAAATTGCTGTTTGTCTCATTGCTAGGCCAATTATTTTGTACACTGAATTGGAGCAATTTGTTCTTAGTGGTAGCTTTAAGATATCATACTTATACAGGTTTATTTAAATCAATGTTTCATAACTATTTGTCTATTTAATGTGATGTAGACTTATTTTAACTGTTCACCCAATGTGAAAATAGGCTGAAAATGTTTTCATCCTCAGGCCTTCCAAGATGTAGAGTTTGTTTCTTCATTGGAACAGGTTTAGACAAATTTAGCATTACATCACTTGTTCACCAGTGGATCCTCCACAGTGAATGGGTGTCGTCAGAATGAGAGTTCAAACAGCAGATAAAAACATCAGAATAATCCACACGACTCCAGTCCATCAGTTAATGTCTTGTGAAGCAAAAATCTGCATGTTTGAAAGTTACAAATCCATCATCAAGATGTTTTATCTTTGGATATTGCCTTCTCCAGTGAAAAAGTCCCCATGTCTGATTCAGGAGAGAAATATGCACAGATCAACCACCGTTTACAAGTGAAAACCGTCCAAAACACTCTAAACAAATAGCCCATGTTGGTGGATTTTGTTGTGAGGACAACAGGGCTTTTTCATTGGAAGACGCATTATTATGGACTCATATTTTGTCCAGAAGCAATGGTTTATATGGTTGCCTAAATGTTGTTTGTTTTTCCTTCTTACAAACACAAATACTTTTTTTTTTTCTTTTCGCTTCACAAGACGTTCATTTATGGACTGGAGTCGTGTGGATTATGGTGATGTTTTTACGGTTTTCACGGCAGAGGATCCATTGTTGAGCAAGTGATATAATGCTACATTTCTCCAAATTTGTTCCAATGAAGAAAAACTCATTAAATATTGAATGGCCTGTCGGTGAGCACATTTTAAGCAAAATTTCAATTAAATTTTTCGGTTGAAAAATTACTTAAATATACAAATGCACAGGACAATAAACAGATCAATAAATAAACTTTAATTCTGTACATAAAGTATATACACACACACAGCAATATCACGATGCTGTACAATCAGCCAGCTTCATTTAGCTCAAATTAAAATATCAAAAGATATATATATATATATGAGACAACTTATAAAGAGACTGAGATTATGTATCATTGAAATGGACAATACATGATGTCTATTCTTTCATTAGACTCAAATAAATAATTTTTTAAAAGAATTTAAAATCTTTACTGTAATCATCTTTTCAGTCATACCTGCTGTAATGGTGTAGCAATACACATATCTGCTTCATTTAGCTTTCTAATATTCAAAATTAAAATGTTTCTTTTCTAAAATGTCTTAATTAACGAGAATTAGATGACATGTAGCACATATATGTTTGAGACCTCATTAAAAACAAAGATTTGTTCACTGAAACCCTTGTCCACATGGTTTTAATCACAGCCATGGAGTGTGTTTGATCAAGGAATGTCTATGTTCTGCTTTGAATTAGAAGCAACATCTGAAAACGCTTAGAATCCTGACACAGCTGAGATCTGTTCATTCCTGCGCTGTTCTCAGAAGAATGAGTGGAAAATTAAATTTTGGGCGTGCAAGTTAAATTAAACTAATTGTCAAATTCTGAAGTATTATGAAAAAAAAAATAAAATAATAAAAAAAATAAAAACCTGCACATTTACTGGAAAGAATGGCTGCATTACATAGCATTAGACAGGTATTGGATTTTATGGAAATATGTGAAGCATTAAATGTTGTCTTTACAATTAAGATATTTCAAAACAATATGAGTTTTGATGCTATAGCGAATAGTTGATAGTGGAAAGTTCTGTGGTTTATGACCCCCTACACTAACATTCAATAAATTAAATATAGAAAACAGGACACTGACATTCAGCAAGTAACGAAACACACATTCAGTGGCCCCAAGAAGTAATTGGACATTTAAGTTAGACATGAAAATTATTAGAAATCAAAATATCAAACCAAGTGGCATTTATTTTAAGGAAATACAAGTAAAGATAAATACAAGCCTTTGTGTAAAAAAATAGAAATCAGAATTAAATTCTGAGTTTGGAGAATTACTTTCGATTTTATTGCAGGTTTCTTTTCTTTTTTATGTAATGCAATTAAAAGGAAAATATTTAAAATAATAACATTATATATAGTTAAATAAAGATTGATTCCACAATCCAAACATTACTGGGATTTAAATATTCTCTAAGGTGGGGGGTGTTACTTAAATTTGGACTTTTTCCACGAGCTCCTGGGAAATTGGGAGTTCAAGCAGGCACACGCACGCACGCACGCACAACTGGCCTAAGAATAGTTCAGATGTGATTAAATCCTGACTCAGAATCATAAGTGAATGAAGTGCATCTAGCTGCCGCATATCAAATGTCAGAAAGAATCGACACTTAAATTTATGACTAAGGTTCATTATAAAAAGCATGATTTTCCTCTGGCCTGAAATATCATGACCTCTGTGTCTCAAGCACTGGTGCTACACAGCAGAAATCTTTGTCACTTTAACTTTGTGTTCAATGAACTGTACAGTGCAAAAGTTCAATAGCTTCTTGGTAGTAATGATTTTAAGGTATGTGCCTATACTGACTGACCCACAGACACATGAAGATGGCTTAATAACCATTATGAATCTTATAATAAAGTCTTTAAAGAGAGATGTAGTGATGCTTACAGGTGATTCTTCTGATTTCCTTTCAACAATATGAAAATGTTCGGTTCCATTCTCCAGGGGCGTAAAAACTAAAACACACAACAAAAGAAAAATCAATGAGTAAAACCTGTTGATCATGAGCAAGCGAGTCATGGCAGAATAAACCTTGCTTGTTTTCTTTTCATTACACAATGTTAAATTAATGATGCAGTTGTAGTGGGTCATTGTTCGGAGTGGTGGACTGATTACCCAAAAATACCACCGTTCCTCGGTCATGCTGGCACCTATGTTTGACCAGAGAATAAATATCTGCCTCTCTTCCCAGTGCACACAGTCATGGGCACATGAACTCACTGAAGCTGGGGTCAGTCTGTGATGAACCGGAGGCCACGCTGATCAAGGCCATTCATCTCCCTGATACTATATCACAGTCCAGTACCAAGCTATCTAAAGCATGATTGAGTGCGAAAAATGGGTCTGATCAGAAGCTGGCAGTTTGGAGTTAAAAGGGGGATTGTGGGATAGATGATCAGATTCACACGAGCAGTTTCTGTTGGGTCATTTTTTTTCATTGGCGGGGTGATTTTAGGCATACTTCGACAATAAATAGTGCTTATAAATAAAATAAATTTAATAAGAAAACCGTAGAATTTAATTACTGAAAATAATTATTTTATCTTATGATTATTTTTTTAATTTGTAATTTCTATCCTTATTTAGGACTTCGATTCCTCAAGAATGCTCAATTTCTTTTTTTATTTTCTACAACATGAACAGGGATTTTTTTTTTTGGTCACATGATAAATGATACACTTCATGTCTGCATGTTCTTACCGTTGTCACTGGGTTTCCTGGTGAGTTGAGCTCGACTGCTGTGGGCCGCCTTTTCTTCTTTAGGACTTCGATTCCTCAAGAATGCTCAATTTCTTTTTTTATTTTCTACATAACATGAACAGGGATTTTTTTTTTTGGTCACATGATAAATGATACACTTCATGTCTGCATGTTCTTACCGTTGTCACTGGGTTTCCTGGTGAGTTGAGCTCGACTGCTGTGGGCCGCCTTTTCTTCTGGTACCTGAACCACATCACTGGACTGAACAAGTGATAAAAACACATGAATTCTCTCACATACACATGTCCTAAGAAATGTCTTTGTCTGTTAAACATGACAAGATTCATGTTAACTGCTTATTATTCAGAGATTTACATTCATTAAGTAAGATACAAACATTTTTCTCTTGCAAATAATTGGATTATCATTCTGTCATGTTGTATGCTCTGTCTGTTCTCTCTCTTTAGTCTTATTCTCTCCCTTTTTTGGTTATATTTGCTTTAGAGGCATTATCTGAAGCTGACCATCACTTCCTTCCAGGGTGCATGTGTGCCTGTGTTTTTTTCAAGCAGTAAAACATTACATTTTAGATTCCCTTACAACCAGTAACTGCACATTAGATGGTTTAAACATTCACATACAGACATGACAAACTGGAGTACAAAAATATGTAAACCATATTAAAATGGCGTATAAATGACAAGGACCAAATACATTGCCACAAATAACAATGATGACATTCTTATTTTATAACAGACTGCTGTTTACAGAAACTGCATCCCTATGATAATGCCTCTAATAGAAGAATAAAACTTCTTATGAAGAGAGGAAATAATGGACCTGAATTAAGACTCAAGCAGAGAGCATCTCCGGGACATTAAATTGAATCGTCTTAAGGTTTTTATTGAATTAATCATAATAATCGCCACCATTTTTACCACAACCGCTTCACTCTCTACACAAGCAGACAAGTAGACACATTAAAATGCATTATCAATCTTTTTAAAAGTCTAAACTGAAGCAGATCGCCTGAACGTAAATGGATGCATGTTTACTATGATCAGTCTCTCTCGCTCTCTCTCTCTCACACACACACACAAGCATTACATCTATTCAAACTGTCACATGCCCCTTCAGATAGAATTGTATGCAACTTCCAAAAAAGCATTATTTGAAATATTTAAAAATTCAGTTCACACAAACATTTGTTTATAGCACTTTTTTAAATTATATTTTAAATATTTTATTTAGAAACACCAACTGGAATAATGCACTTTTTAAAAAGGTAAAAAAATAAAATAAATAAATATTGGGATAGCACTGAACAAGTGTTTCTTACAGAGTTTCTCTGTGGGGACTCCGATCCACTGGTCCGCTTGGTCTTTTGTGCCAGAGAGGTTCCAAATCTCAGAGTCTCATACACCGGGTCAACTTTACTGCCACAGGCTAGGACAAAAGACATGTCAAAATACTACAAAATATCAGTGAACAGGAATGATCAAGCTGGTGATGCTATGGCATATTGTGCAGAAGTAAAAAAATAAATAAAAATGAATGCTGCGTGTTGCTCACCAATAGGCATAACCTCCCTAATGCAGCCAAACTGTTCCTGAATCAGCAGAGGGGAGCTAGAGTATCTCCGAAAACCTTTGGGCTGCAATCACACAAACAGGATCAGTGAATTTTATTATTTCATTAATCCCCTTTTTTTTTTTTTTTTATACACAGAATTTATTTTCATGGGCATGTTTTAACCTCAATGGGTGCATGTACAAAACAAATAAAAACACAATATCCATTTATGCTAAATAAGAAAATCAAATCAAAAACAGCAGTCATACTCAACCCGAACAATTTTGCCTGTTTATTAGCATGAAATAAAACCAACATCAAACACAAACGTAAATGTAAACCGATCACAAGTTATCATAACACACTAACACATACCCAGGGCATTTTTGTTGCTTTCAGTGGCTCTTTAGGCTTACGATCTGGTTAATTTCTGCTACAGTCTCAGTTACCATGCTGAAATTTCAAGATGATTCCAAGTACTGAAACGAGTGAGAATTATACCTGACTCAATATCACATGGATTTTAATGAGCTATTTTTGGGCCATAATTTCCTACAGAGTAGGAGAGTTTTGCCATTGTAACACTTAATACAGAGATACAGTGTTTGAACACATCAGAATAATTTCAAACTGGATGCTGCAGTTAATTCAAAACTCTCATTTAATGATTCATTTGCATTATCACTCAAAAATGTCTATGAAAGTCTCTGCATCTATTAAAATGCTTATATAGTTTGCAAATATTGCCATTTATTATGTGTTGTCATTAGGGCATATGAATGAAAATAATTAAACGTCACTCTTCATTGTGTTCATTTTGAAAAGAACTGCGTGGAAAAAAATGCCATGATTATGAAATGATGGTTTGGTTCCTGTGAGCTATTTAATAGCAAATACATATATTGAATATGTATCCGACACCATCAAACAACTGAAAAATACGGAGATAAAAATGTATATATTTCTCAACCCTGGTGTACCCACAGATAAATGTCGTAGTTGTGTTCTCACATAAGGTGTCCCACTTTACTGCTACATTAGCTGCTGTATTACCAGTATATATTTGATTCATGTCTGGTAAAATTGCGGTTTTGTCATGATTTAAAAGGTTAACAACACTTTAACGATTAATACAGTATCAGTCTGATCTTAATTTCCAATAAGACCATATAAATGACTGTTAATAAGGCAAATTATTTTATACCTGTAAGATCTATTTACACTGAGATTCAGTGGTTCAATCAATAAAAACAAGCTCCTAAAAGGCTTAATTAGCATCCAGTAGCGCACACACACACACACACACACACACACACACACACAGCCCTAAAGAAGAAGCTGGACTCACTATGCCCTTATTTGTATTTGTTGTTTTGAGTTCAGGGCAGTGTGTCTATGCAATCAGCATTACAAATCTGCTTTGAAGACTTCTTCGTTAGCAACGACTGGGGTTGGGAACCAATTTAAGTACCACTCGAACCCAGAGACAAGCTCTCTAGTGTTACTACGTCACATTTCTCCAAGAGCTCACTGGGGAAGCATGTAAATAGACCTGTTCAGTGCTGGATTCTGAAGTAGATGCTAATAAATGCATTTAACAAAAGTGCACGGTGTCTGGAAGCAACTTAAAATACCGAAGTGACAACCGAAAAACTTCCATGTGATTAATTTGCTTAAATCAACTAAAAGAACAATAACAGCTACACCATGCAATGTTCAGTTGCACATAATGGGAGTTTTAATGGTTGACTAACAATCAGGACTCAGCTCATGTCATGCTGGTAGTAAAGCACTGTTCTCTGAAAAGCACTCGTAGCTCAAAGGTTCTCACTGATCAGACAAGCCAAGAGAAATAAACCGTTTAAAAATAGCAACTTGTCCACTTTAGAGCAAAAGTGGAATTAGAGCCGAATCCTGTGGGGAGTTGTTCTCTTTTTAATCCTGACCCCCCACAGCTATATTTTCCATCTGTGAGAGCCCACTACATCATCAGAAGACTTGCAGTCTCAACCCACCAAACAGTCTGAAGCACAAGCACAGCATTTTTTCCCCCCACTTCCTGTGTTGATGATATCATAGTATAGTATTAGAATCAAAAGTGCTGGGTTCCAAGAATAAAAAGAAAATGCTGGTCAAAGGCCATTCTACCCACAGTTCTGTTGTGTTTTTCTTTTAAAAGTTGATTTTGTGGTGTGGTGTTTTTGTGAACAGTTGCTGGGTTAATTATCAATCAACAATTGTACTCATGTGATGTGTAAATGTGAAATGTTTTTATTGGTCTCAATTCCTTTTGGAGAGCAGAATGGCTGAGATAATGCAGATACGGTGTATTATAATACAATTTAAAGAGGTCATGAAATGGAAAATCAAAATGTCCTTGATACTTACATAAGTTATTCCACAATAAAAAAAACAGTGCAAGTTTCATACCTCAAAGCAAACTCTCAGTTTGAACATTTGAATTTTTGTTTTCCACCCTTTTGAAATGCCATCATTTGAAAACACCTCATTCGTGACATCACGATTTTCCTCTATACATCTTTTAACATGCAAATGAAGCTTTATTACAGCTCTGGCCATCATAAGCATTAAAATACACATCAGACAAATTGTGGGGGAGGATGTGGATACAATGTGATGAAGTTCACCAATGTGTTTGGGCTAATTTGTTTTTTTATAAATTAAAGGATGCATTAAATTGTTTAAAAGTGACAGTAAAGACTTTTACTTTGTTACAAAATATTTTTTGTCAAATAAATACTGTTCTTATAAACTTTCTATCCATCAAAGAATCCTAAAAAATAAATGTATTACAGTTTCCACAAAACAATTAAGCAGCACAAAGATAATAAAAATGTTTCTTGAGAATCAAATCAGCATATTAGAATGATTTCTGAAGGATCATGAAATACTGAAGAATAGCTGATGAAAATTCAGCTTTGCCATCACAGAAACAAATTAAATTTTAAAATATATTCAAATAGAAAAACAGTTGTTAAACTGTAATAAGATTAAGAGTTTGTTTAAAAAAAATTTTTTTTTTAAAAATACATACCCCAAACTTTTGAACGATAGTATGTGTGTGTGTGTGTATTTAAAAGTTACATTTTGCACATACATAAATATATCTTGATACCATTACTAACCTGATCTATTATTTGTGCGATACTACCACAGCACTATGACTTTTTCTATATGAGAATATGTTTGAGAAAGCTGAACTTGTTCTCAAGGTCACTCAATCATTCTCTGAGAAACCTGGCTCACTCCTGTATTTCACTGAACCCATGGGAAAAGCAATGGAAATTTTAGCACTCCTTTCCCCTTTTGCCCTTTTTTCCCCGTCTGTGTGTTGGGGGGGGGGCCACGTGTGAATTTTCCAGAAGAGTCGTGACTCGTGGGTCCCCCCCCCAGTAAAGCATAGAGGTGTTTACATGATAGATGCATCTTGATATTCCGTATCAACGGTCCCATCTTTCTTCGCTCTCACTTTTTCCTGTGCACACCAGAGAATCCTTAACATTCATACTCGCACACAAATTAATTCACGGAAGGAAAAGACAGACTGATGAATCACACCTTCAAATCACCAAAAATAGCACGGTGAAGAGTAACATATCTTAACACTCACACACTAAAAATCTTCACCTACTGCCAGAAAGGAACACCAGGAAAGTGATTTGCGAATTTTATGTATGGACGTGGAAAAGTTATTAATTCACGGAAGGAAAAGACAGACTGATGAATCACACCTTCAAATCACCAAAAATAACACGGTGAAGAGTAACATATCTTAACACTCACACACTAAAAATCTTCACCTACTGCCAGAAAGGAACACCAGGAAAGTGATATTGCGAATTTTATGTATGGACGTGGAAAAGTTTTCTCTTTACAACACTCTTATGTCATATCTTAATAAGCCTCTTCATACGATAAACAAACATTGGCCAACCTGATCAACAAATGAACAAACACTGAATACTTATTTGATTACTCTTGGAAATTGAATGAGGAACTAAACATCAACAAAAACAAAGCAAGGGGAAAAACACTCCATTCACAAAGTAAAAAATCTCACCAATTTCCCCATGCATCTCTGCTGTCCAACTCGATCCAGGCACTTGTTGTGGATGCCCATCTTGCAGGCTTTGCACCGGAGGCCCAGCTTAGCATTTGTGCCTAGCAGTTGAGGTCACATTCAGTTAATATCAGGTTTAAATGTCTTCTGAGAGCAAAGGTTATTTGTACAAAACAATGTTATATTACTGTTAAACAACAGAAAGTGATCAATAAATACGAGTCAGAGTTGGAAATTCCCACATGTGCAGTTCTGCTGGGATTATTATCATCCACAATTATTTCTTCATTAGCAGTTTAACATGAAATTCCATATACACTTCTGTTGGAAAATCTTATTGAAGGGTTAAAATATTATAACACTCTTAAAAATAAAGTTTCCAAAAGCACACTTTTTTTCTTAGTGTGACTTAGTTTTAGTTCTCTAAAAATGTTTTCCCATTGAAAAGATCCTTTTGCGCAATGAAAAGGTTTCACGGATTTGGAAGGTTCTTCATGGAACCAAACATGTCAATGAAGAATTTATTTTTAAGAGTGTGGGGGGTGCAGTTCTGCAAGTGTTCAGGTTGCTGGTCATCATTCTGGAGTACATTTATTTTGCTTAAAAAGAAGATCCCTTATAAATCAAATTAATATGACTTCACAGTCCTGGAAACACTTGCAGAATCCAAACGTATAGGTAGTACTGGAAACGGGAAAATGCAGGTGTTAATGCTAAGCTGAACAGAAGCAGCTGAAGACAAACGAGAGCAAAAAAGGTACAAGAAACCATCTAATATAACAGCACTCCGAATTCTCTAACAAGTATTTTAATCCTACTCTTATATTTGCTCATTTTCACAATTTGATATCACCACACCTGGTGCTCAGAACATGCATTCAGAGACAGTTTTATTGATTCAGACACTTTATGGAAGGATTTGGAGGAAGGAAGAACAAAGGAAAAACTATAGAAGAAACCTATACATGCATGCTTAGCCTGATATCAATATTTGTACAAAACATTGGTGCTCGCTTGTAAGCAGAGAATGTAGATCTCCTCCACAGAAGTCACAATGTGCAAGCAGCAAAACTCTGAAGTTGTCAATAAAAAGGCATACAAAAATGTAAACAAAAATTCACCAAGGAAGAGCATGTTATAACATCCATTCTCTGCTTTTTCCAGTAACAATGTTCTTGTGCCAAAACAAATAATAATAAAAGCATTCTTTAATCCATAAATGCCTCAGACTACTCTGATTATGATAACTCAGGGTGGTACAGATTTAAATGTTAACATTAAAATTGTGTTTATTTCTTACAGATAGTTGTGAGTGATTCATTATCCAAAATAAACAGCTTTTTCACCATGACAAATTATGCAACACTTTTTGATGCATGCTTCTTTGGATGATCTTTGGGTAATGAAGAATTAATCAGGCCTAATTGCATTCTGAAAAAAAAAAACTGCCTCTGTGCAGGATAAACAAACAGATTCTGTTGTGGTGGGACAATAAATACTAATTGCTGAAATTATAGTGTGTTAAAGTCACCTTTCCAGCTGCTTCCCAAGAGCGAGCAGCACTTTGAGAATAAAGCCACCTATTGGTAAAAGCCTCCACTATATTGAAGCACACAAAACAGATATTTTCATTAACTTTAAACCACCAGAACAAAGTAAACCATCATTTACAGTATACAACAAAAACATGCATAGCAAAGCTCTGGAAAACAGCACACACAGAATAACATCATATTCCTGACAGTAATGAGAAACAACAGGAAAAAAATAAATAAATAAAAATATCCGATCACGGATTAGGGGTATTGATATTGACCGGTCTAGAGAAAAATTCTATTAAGCATCGGTCTGGAAAACATATGAGGAGCTACTTCATCATATGCATTTCCTGAGAGTGCTGAACAAGTCATTATGAGCGCAGAAGCAGGGAGATGGTGGGTTGGGGTTGGAGGTGGGTGAAGGGAGTTATCTAATTTTCATTCGGTTTTTAAAGAGTTCAATTCATCTTCAAACAGAACAGACTTACCGAACACCTTGCCTGCTCCCCCTTGGCAAGCTAAAAAAAATTACAGGAGAGAATCCCTATTGTATTACAATTATTCCTTATAAATATAAAATGGTGGTCAAACAAGGCAACATGGCATTAGTTACAGCTCATTCAAGGTTCGTAGATGTTGATTTTTCAAAACAAACCTGTATCTCTGAAAACTGCAATGCAATAGCCTTAAAACGATTGTTCACCCAAAAATGAAAATTGTCATCATTTGCACATCCTCATGTCATTCCTAAGCTATATGACTTTTTTTTATCTGTGGAACACAAAAGAAGATATTATGAAATTTTTTTTGATTAAATGACTACAGGCTTGTGGCTCTAACGTCTGTCGTCATGAAGTAATTTGAAAAACTGGTGCTGGCCCACCTGAAGGACATTACTGGACCCTTGCTGGATCCTCTTCAATTTGCCTACAGAGCAAACAGGTCTGTGGACGATGCAGTCAACATGGGACTGCATTATGTTCTGCAACATCTAGACAGACCAGGGTCTTATGTAAGGATCCTGTTTGTGGACTTCAGCTCGGCCTTTAACACGATCAACCCAAACCTCCTCCTGCCCAAACTAACTCAGCTCTCAGTGCCCACCTCCGTCTGTCAGTGGACCACCAGCTTCCTGACAGACAGGCAGCAGCTAGTGAGGCTGGGAAAATACACATACAGAACCTGGACGATCAGCACTGGAGCTCAGTGTTGCCAACTTCTTACAATAGAAAGTAGCTAAAGCCAGTTTGAAAAGTCGCTAAATGTCGCCAGATGACATCATACGCTAATTAGCATATTCATGACATCATCGCGTCTGTTGCCTTTTACATTTGTTTGTCTCTCTGTGCTCACATACTGTATTTTAATGCAGTCAAATTCTCAATAAAACTGTTTTCATATATATATATATATAAACTTTCTGTTTTTAGACAACAGAATAAATATGAAATAGTGACTGAAATGCGGCCCTTTAAGACTACATAACCTCTCCCTTCCAAGACGTTAATCTGCACAAAAATCCTGTTTTATATTTGAGCCATCGTCTGATGAAATGAAACGCACATAAGAAAAGACAAGACACAGACAATTCCTGTGCTGTGATTTTGGGTATATTTGCATGTAAAATTAGAGAAGGAACATAATATCTATTTTAACTGAAGGCGCTGCTCCTCTCAGCCGCTCGCTGAACAGAGCAGACGCAGAGAGAGAGGTGTGCGCACGCTGACCTCACGCCGTTGCTTCAGTACCAGCGATCACAGAGACTCGCTAAGGTTTGTCCAAGAAGTCGCTAGATTTGTCACTAGTTGCTTTTTTGGGAAAAAAAAGTCACCAAGGGGTCTGAAAAGTCGCTAAATTGGCAACTGTCTCTCTGTGCTCACATACTGTATTTTAATGCAGTCAAATTCTCAATAAAACTGTTTTCATATATATATATATATAAACTTTCTGTTTTTAGACAACAGAATAAATATGAAATAGTGACTGAAATGCGGCCCTTTAAGACTACATAACCTCTCCCTTCCAAGACGTTAATCTGCACAAAAATCCTGTTTTATATTTGAGCCATCGTCTGATGAAATGAAACGCACATAAGAAAAGACAAGACACAGACAATTCCTGTGCTGCGATTTTGGGTATATTTGCATGTAAAATTAGAGAAGGAACATAATATCTATTTTAACTGAAGGCGCTGCTCCTCTCAGCCGCTCGCTGAACAGAGCAGACGCAGAGAGAGAGGTGTGCGCACGCTGACCTCACGCCGTTGCTTCAGTACCAGCGATCACAGAGACTCGCTAAGGTTTGTCCAAGAAGTCGCTAGATTTGTCACTAGTTGCTTTTTTGGGAAAAAAAAAGTCACCAAGGGGTCTGAAAAGTCGCTAAATTGGCAACACTGCTGGAGATCCTCAGGGTTGTGTTCTCTCACCACTGCTCTTCTCCTTCTACACCAACGACTGCACATCTAAAGACCCCTGTCAAGCTCCTGAAGTTTGCAGACGACACCACACTCATCGGCCTCATTCAGGACGGTGACGAGTCTGCTTACAGACAAGAGGTTAAAGAGCTGGCTGTCTGGTGCGGTCTCAAAAACCTGGAGCTCAACACGCTCAGAACAGTGGAGATTATAGTGGACTATAGGAGAAACCCGCCTGCTCTCCCCCCACTCACCATCATGGACAGCACTGTGACTGCAGTGGAGTCATTCAGGTTCCTGGGCACCACAATATCTCAGGACCTAAAGTGGGACACTCACATTGTGAAAAAGGTCCAGCAGAGGTTGTACTTCCTTCGCCAGCTGAGGAAGTTCAACTTGCCACAGGAGCTGCTGAAACAGTTCTACTCCGCTATCACTGAATCCATCCTCTGCACTTCAGTAACTGTATGGTTCAGCTCAGCTACCAAATCTGACCTCAGAAGACTACAGAGGGGTCGACGCTACAGAGCTCTGAGCACCAGAACTGCCAGACACAGGAACAGTTTCTTCCCTCAGGCAATCCATCTCATGAACACTTGACAATAACTGTGGAACACACAACACTATTTATACACTCATACACTTATTTATCTAGCACACATACTTCGTCTACACCTCAAATTTGCACATAACATACAAAACCATCTATTGTAATATACCTGCACATACAATTGTCAATTTATATATTTTTATTCCTTATTTACTGGTTAAATTTTTTATTCTTCTTTTATTATCTGTGTTTTTGTTCTGTCGCTGTCATTCTGCTGCACTGCGGAAACTTCTGTCATGAAAACAAATTCCTCGTATGTGAAAACATACCTGGCAATAAAGCTCATTCTGATTCTGATTCAAAGTGTTTTTTTGTCCATTCAATGAAAGTCAATTTCATTGTATGGGGAGGAAGGAAAGAAAAAAAAAAGCGACATTTTGAGAAATAGCTTCTTTCATGTTCTGCAGAAGAAAAAGAAAATGAGTAAATGACAATTAAAATTTTTGGGTGAAATATCCTTTTAACTACACAAGATCAACGAGTAGAAATGAATATATTTCCTCACTGACTTTAAGTTAAAATTTTGTTTTGAATAACAAAATATGAATGTGAAATGATTAATAGGGTGAAAACATCAGGTCCCGCTGTTGTGAGAATGACTCTGTCACAGGGCTCATTTGCCCCGGTCTGCTACAACAAGCTGCTTCCAGCCATCCATCAATTAATCAAACATCACATGCTCGGTCCAGACTCTTTCATGCCTCCCTGTGCTGATCACTACAGCCTTTGAAAAAAAAAAAAAAAAAATCTTTAATGCGTTTAATGATTGAGTATTTATGTGTCGAGTATTTTTTTCTTGGGTTGAGTGGTGATACTGGGCAGAACAATCATAATGAAATTCTTCCTATTATGAAAACAACATTGACTCACAGATCTAGTTCAGGCCAAGCTTCAGTAAAATGCCTGAAAGTAATATTAGAATATTTCGTCAAAGTCAGAAAATGTTTGGTCTTCATTTTGGACTTGTGTGCCCTAAAGGAACAGAGGAAAATTATTTAAATCTTTCAACAACACTTGCATGCAAGCTGCATGATATATGTTATGTGGACTTAATTTCAGTGTTGTTAATGTCATCAGTTGCCCAATGGGATGGGAATCCACCCACCCACACAGACAGCCAACCATATTCCCAATATGCTAAGCCTCCTTTTATACTTTGAAATACAGCATGACTTCTGTGTCTTTAGAAATAGATGCCTCTGCTTTAGCCAAACATGAGAGAACATCAGCATGAAAAATGTGTTTCTCTCCGATCCTGAAAATGCTTTATAAATTGCTGACTGACATTTTGAAATGAGCTTAATCTCAAGTATTAGTGATACAGAGCACACTTGTTAAATTTTCGTTCTGAATTAAATGCAGTCAGTTCATGGTCAGTAAATATCTTTACAGCTGCACAACTGACCATTAAAACATTTATACAATTCTATAAATTTTACCCACACAGCTAAGTGGGTGTTTAGTGGTCGTTTCTTCCATTTTGGCCTTTTAGAAGAGACATTTTACAAAAATATTCGGTAAGTAACCAACTTAAATGAAACTAACTTTAGTAAAACTAAAAATAATTGTTGGTTGTAATGGTTGTGATTTAAAAAAAAATGCATATAAATAATGTTCACAAAATAAATACTGAAGTGGTTTGTTTATTTTAAATGTATATTGATTTATATTTTATGATGGATTTCCATAGTTTAAGATTAAAAGTCTGGGTCAAGAGACAAGGGTAAAACAATAAAAACTACACATAAAAGGCGAAAAATATTAAAAAGTTAAAAGTAAAAAATAAATAATCCAAAATAAATGGCATGATTACAAAACGAAAACCTTAACTCTGGGTCATAAAAGTGGTCCAAGTCGAAGCAAGCAAGCAACCAAGTTAGTAAGTAAATAAGTAAATAAATCAATAAATATGAAAAATATACAAACTTTTAAACCACAAATCTCCTTAACTCTGAACTGGAAACTAAACATAGCAACAGGTCCGATAACAGTATCTTTGGTTCAAATACCCCATTCACCGCACCACTGGCTATCACAAACGAGCATGGAAAACAAAGGCACGTGATGCTAAAAAACCCAGTTAATTCCACCGTCCTGATATCTGATCCAAATGCAGAGATTTGGGTCAAATTAAAATCTGACTGTTGGTATGTTGTTGTATGTGTCACTCAGATTGGTGAAGGAAAAGCCCCCCAAAATAAGATCCCCATCTTCTTTTATGGCACACACTCGACGTGAGCAGCCACAACCAGACACACACTTGCCCTCACTCACACACACACACACACTGTACATTCACATACAAAAACACTACCGAGTATTCTATGTGTGTGTGTGTGTGTGTGTGTGTGTGTTCATCCTTGTGTTTTTCTTTTCAAACAGGTGGACATCTGGCCACCTTACCACACATACACAAATTGAAAGCTGAGCCACAGCCTGGTTGCCTTCTAGGATAAACCCACAAATACCCTAATGCGGACTTAGCTGATCACATTATGCCCTTAAACACCACACGTACTGCAAGTGGAGCTCTTTATCTTAAAACCACCTCACTGCTTCAAATTGAAGAATCAACTCATGATTTACATGATATAAAATCCAGTTTGGACAGATGACCTTCATGGGGACATCAATATGGGGCATGAAGCTTTCGATCGGCTGCAGTACACCTCAGTTTGATTTACTTCTGTCTGACTGGCCTTTCCAACAATAAAAATACATTTTTGGTGAAAAAAAATAAATTAAAAATTAAAAATTCCAAACCTCATTTAAAAAAAATCAGGAAAGAGTTGAGAGGCTTAAAGATCCCATATAAAGTCACTTCTCTGTACTATTTTGATGCACTTATATTAAAACAGGACATGTGGGTGGGACTTTTCTTTTTTGTTTAAATGGCCATAGCCCTGCAGAAACAGGTTTTGCTATAATTTTATTCTAACTCAGACAAAAACTTCTAAACAGCAGCATTCAAAAGGAGTCGTCAATATTTTTAAATCAATTTCCAAAGAATAAAAAAACCCTGGGGTAACATTTTAAAAAACATATATTCAGCAAAGATGCATTAAATTGGTCAAAAGTGACAGTAAAGATGTTTTTTACAAAAACATTAAGCAGCACAACTCTTTTCAACACTGATGATAATAATAAAAACAAATTCTTTAGCGCCATATCAGCATATTAGAATGATTTCTGAAGGATCATGTGACACTGAAGACTGGAGCAATGGCTACTGAAATTCAACTTTGCTATCACAGGAATAAATTACATTTTAGAATATACTAAAATACAAAACAGTATTTTTATTGTACACATTGCTATTTGTACTGTATTTTTAAACATATAAATGCAGCCTTGGTGAGCATAAGAGCATTTCTTTCAAAAAACAGACCACAATTCAGTGAACAGTAGAGTATATGTGCCACGTTTGGTCAGCTTTTAGGAGTGCACTCACATATGACCTCAAATCTAATAGACATTGACTAACAGCCACAATACTTAGATTTTTATCTCATGGAGTCTTTAACTCATTACGTCGTGCCACTCTATCATTGTTCACCGCTCTCTAAATGGTCAAATCATTGTGTGTTGGTGTCGTCCACAGTAACAAAACATTAGTGTCTGGTGGCCGGACAGCAGATGGGTAATAGAATATTTTAGATTAAGTGTTCAGTCATCTAATCTATAATCATTATGTTAGAGATCAAAATAGGCTCCTTTGTCTAAAACACAAACACAGCTTTGTTCATGTGTTTCCTGTGTAATGAGATTGCAAAGCTGTCGTCAATCACAAAGATAAAACACGTCCTCTTACCTACAATCATGTGGTTGCAGACATCACAAAAATGGGGCTTCTTGAAGATGTGCTCTAGAAAGGTGTGTGCGTTGGGGTCTGCCGGGCGGGGGGCGCGGGATGGAGAACAGATTGTGATGGGCAGGTTGCCCGGGATGATGGTGGGCAGTGGAGGGGGTGGTGGAGGAAGGGACATCGCTGGAGAGGCTGAGACAGACACACCGATGATGCTCAGATGACCTGTGCTGCTGCTGACATCCGAGAGCAGATCGGTTTGAAACTTCACATCCTCGATGGGCCGTTGGAAAAAATTATCGGCACTTTTGCTGCGAAGACTCTTGGTCTTGAAGGACAGTGAACGCTTTAGCCTCTGCAGCTGAAATAAACATAAAACAGAGTACAAAATGCATCTATTACCATCTGATTTAGACAAATGCTCAACCCCATATGGCATAAAAAACAGCCCCCAGAGCATTAAACGCTGTGAGTGGGTGATTTCTGATGCTTGGCAGGTGTCAAATGAGGGCATTCTCACTAAAACAACCTCCAGATGATTATACAACTCGCCAGCCATCATATGTTAACTCAACTCAAGGCTAAAATTACAGATTATTTGTGTTCATCTAACTCACTAAGCATCAAAAGGCTTAATGAAAGAGAAAAGAGGAAACTGAGAGAAAGATGGGCTGTCATGTCTCTTGGTACATAACCTCTTTGTGCGGTGCACATTACCCATGATATCAGTCATACACTGACAGCCCTCTAAATTAGCTGACAACACCCACCAGGACCATCTTTGCCTACTAAAAATGTCCTCTAGGCCACAGCAACTTGCACTACTTCCCCAAGTACTGTGCACAGGAATGCTATTCAAATTTGTAAAGTGCCCATTACTAAAGATTAGACAAGGGTTGTCATGCACCTCAACAGATCACATATTTAAGATTGGGGAGAGCAAATATGTGACCCTTGACCACAAAACCAGTCATAAGTTGCACGGGTATATTTGTAACAATAGCCAACAATACATTGATTGTATGGGTCAAAATTATAGATTTTTCTTTTATGCCAAAATCATTAGGATATCAAGTAAAGATCATGTTCCATGAAGATATTTTGTAAATCTCCTACCGTAAATATAGATAATAAATATATTTATCGTCTGGGCACCAGCCGCGCTCTACATGTTGCGTTGAGCTGGAAGTTATAAACTGCCGGATGCGCTGCGAATAAATGGTCTACAATATCGCACTGGTCTATCGACTTTCCATCAGTTTGTACATTGCATAGTAGAGACGCAGTCCGCTCGAGATGAACTCACTTCATTAGTCAATACCGTCCAGCAGACTGACTATATCTGACTGTCAGACTGTGGATCAGCCAATCAGACTCCGCGATAGGAGGAGTTTAGATCTGATTAATTCCCATCCTTTGTTTAAATGGATCCAGTTTTGATTTTCAGTGATCAGACTGGCTGTTGTCACCTCTATTCTTATTCTTCACATTCATCCTATAAATGTGAATCTAAAAATAATACTGTTAATGGTTAGTGCTACTGTTTTTTCTTCTTCTATTTCTGGATTGAATTGTATCTAGAGTGGAATTTATAGGGGGTTTGGGGAGGATCTGGCTCCCAATTAAGGTTTACATTTTTAAGAAATTCTAAAGATGCATTCTTAAGCTTGGGAGTGTCAAAAAGATGCATTCTTAAGCTTGGGTGTGTCAAAAAGATGTATTCTTAAGCTTGGGTGTGTCAAAAAGATGCATTCTTAAGCTTGGGAGTGTCAAAAAGATGTATTCTTTTTACATATGTAGGCTTATAAGTGCATAGTGTACAGTGTGTCATTTGGGATGCACCTTTCGATTGCAAGTTTATTCAGAGTGAGGTAAATTGAGAATTATAGAACGGATAGTTCTGGTCCTTGATTGTGATTGGTTGAGCCGCGTTCTAAGCTGTTGTAAATTACTCTACAAACACACACCTTTGTTTACTTCTGTGTGTTGCTCGGCAACCACTTTGTTGGAACCACAACTGTTTCTGAGGAACTACATTGTTTGGTGGAAGAATACTGCTTTTATTTATATCATTACACTTTATTTGCTCTGTTTTATTCTGTGAAAGCTTACTACGTATATGGAATAACCGTTTTAAAAAAGCAATAAACCCCGTGAAGCTGTGATTTACAGTGAATTTATAACACAACGCCCCTTAGCTGTTATAAATTCACTGTAAACCACGGCTTCTTGGGGCTTATTGCTTTATTTGCGTTCACCTACAGAGGTAACCATTGCAACAGTAACAGTTAGTCCGCTACAGCGCTCTGCGTTACAACAATAAAAAATATATGCATTCAATGGACAGACAACCGTGGAGTAGTGTATCTGTGCATTGATGGAACTCTCAACTTCTCGTATACATGGATCTAATTTGGCATTCTGCTTTTAATTGGTGAATTGGCCACAGAGCCTGCTCAGTGCAGCCTTAACTCTGCTGTGTAAACACACCAGATGCAACAGTTTGGAGCATCCAGGAGTTTTGTATATTGTAAATATCTTTTAAAACACATCACATTCTGTTTTGTCAAGGTTGTTGGTCTGATTAATTCCCATCATTATTTAATTAGTCTCACCATATGTGAGATATTCTTCTACATCAATATCCTATGAGCTGTTGGATCCAGGGCTCACAAACATTCTGCCGTTTTCATGCATTCTAGAAATCTCCTGTGTCAAATCCAGTTAATCCCATCATTTATTTTCACAGATTTGGCGAAGAAATAAGCAAGAATGACCAATGTAATGTGTTACAGTGACATCCGATGTAGAAAAAAAAATATATCCTTCAGTTGTGATGGCAACAGATGGCATCTCATTTATATGAGAGAAAAAATATGAGAGCAGTGGAAGAGAGCGAGAAAGGGCTGAAATTTTCACCCCCAGCTGCAGAAGAGGAGTGAAGGCCATGGGAAAGGAAAGCAGGATCTTAATTATGGAGGACAGAAGGGTTTTACTCTATTAGTTCGTTCAAGATCTCGCACAGTGACACCCGTATTTACCAGCATCATCTTCTCCTGGAAATTTCAAGTGTAATCTGAAGTCTTAATCTGACTGCTGTTAAATCTCAAATATCTTAATAGGCCACATATGCCAGATACATTTTTATAAGCTGATTTGCAATAAAAGTAACAAGGTTGCGAGTTTATCTCAATCGAGAGGACGGTTAAATTTATCGCTGTCCTTGGCTCAGTACAACCATAGCATGGTCAATGAATGGTAATGGTCATGAATGTCATGAATATTTGTATTTGAGTATTTTTATGTGAGTTAATTAGTTTAGTCCTTCATAGGTTTTGCCAATCACAGCAAGGTCAGATCAATTCTAGAATAATAAACCCATTTTAGACGGAGGAAATCTAGCACTTCTTCAATCATTTCTCAATCAAACACATTTTCACCCCCAGCTGCAGAAGAGGAGTGAAGGCCATGGGAAAGGAAAGCAGGATCTTAATTATGGAGGACAGAAGGGTTTTACTCTATTAGTTCGTTCAAGATCTCGCACAGTGACACCCGTATTTACCAGCATCATCTTCTCCTGGAAATTTCAAGTGTAATCTGAAGTCTTAATCTGACTGCTGTTAAATCTCAAATATCTTAATAGGCCACATATGCCAGATACATTTTTATAAGCTGATTTGCAATAAAAGTAACAAGGTTGCGAGTTTATCTCAATCGAGAGGACGGTTAAATTTATCGCTGTACTTGGCTCAGTACAACCATAGCATGGTCAATGGTAATGGTCATGAATGTCATGAATATTTGTATTTGAGTATTTTTATGTGAGTTAATTAGTTTAGTGCTTCATAGGTTTTGCCAATCACAGCAAGGTCAGATCAATTCTAGAATAATAAACCCATTTTAGAAGGAGGAAATCTAGCACTTCTTCAATCATTTCTCAATCAAACATTACTCCAAGAATCATGATGTACTTTTCAGACTAATGAATCACATCAGCTGTGAACACGCTTCAGTCTCTCTTTCAGCAAATTTCTCCTCGTTCTAAAATAAATGTTTCATCTGTTGGTTCCAATATGACATGAAATCACTGCTCAAAAATTTTCCCCAGTGATGATTTTCCCCAGTGATGATACAAACAAAGTGATCAGAGACTAATTTGGCATTACTCTGACAATCAAACACTACTCCAAGAATCATGATGTACTTTTCAGACTAATGAATCACATCAGCTGTGAACACGCTTCAGTCTCTCTTTCAGCAAATTTCTCCTCGTTCTAAAATAAATGTTTCATCTGTTGGTTCCAATATGACATGAAATCACTGCTCAAAAATTTTCCCCAGTGATGATACAAACAAAGTGATCAGAGACTGATTTGGCATTACTCTGAAAATTAAATGGCTTAGAATCAATCAGATATCCAAGCATAAATAACTGCTTTTTGATCTATACACTTCCTACTGAGCGATTACCTTAAAATAGTGTTGATCTGGCTATAAATATAACTATGGCTCATGTTATATATGGATTCAACAATATATTTTCTTGTCATCTGTTTTACTTCTGATCCCTGCTAAGTTTAGCATCTGAATAATGGACTGAGGTAATTGCACTCGCTGCTTGTTTGTCAGATGACTCAACATAAACAGAGAGAGAGAGACAAACAGATAGACTGAATCCACTACGACACTGAATATTTAATGGCATCCCACATAAGGTGTGACAGCATAAAACAGGAGATAATCTGTACAGTATCTCAATAGTCTGATGAGTACAGTATCTTCATGTTTTGATCTTTTATCCTAATGATCTGATCACACTCTTGAATATCGTACTTGATGTTCCTCATCCTCAAATCAGTTGTGACGTACAAAATTATGGTCATTTACTTGGATTTCATGCCAGTTCAGTGCACAGCCTCATTGAACAGTCACTCTCCCTCCATCTACTGTTGAAACAAAGACAGAGGGAAATCTTAAAGTCTCAGTGTAAGAGTGTGATGAAACTGCTTTCGGGATTTTCCATCTGTTCAGTTCAAAGCTCCACATGAATCATGGAGTCACAAACATTTCTTAATATGCCTTTAAGGGAAAGCGCACACACAACACACATACACCTCTGCAAGTAATGACATTTTACTCTAATCGTTTTCACCAGGGCTGAGAGATAAACAGGTCGCCATGCTCCAGTTCTAAACACTTCTGGATAAAACTATAACAAAACAGAGAGCAGAAACTAAGACATTTTAAGGTAAACTTTCAAATATTAAACGCCACACGCATATTCAGATGGCAGCAGAGCACAAAAATGCAAATTCTGTGTGCAACAGTTTGATATAGTTTTATGAAGGTAAACATAAGGGTAAAAACTATTTTAAAAAAAGCACAAAATTTGAAGATCGTTAGAAAAAGACCAATACTGCCAAAACAACAGCTGCTCAGCCACAAACATCTCTACAACACAAGCCCAATACACAATCCAACGGCCTCAGTGCACAATGCAATTCCAATGAACAATAAAAACCTAAATAAACAACAAAACATCCCCGACACATAGTTAAAGAAGCTGAACACACAATACAACAACCCCAACACACCATATCCTCTAAAGCAGGTGAAGGTCTATCTTGTGCGTAGATGAGATCGTCAAATGAGAAAGACAGTTAGAAGACAGAGCAGATATTACTGGCTCCACCAGAGGGTGCTAGTTCGGTGGACTCGTTGACCCACGACAGTGTAAGAGACAAAATAGTCAAAAGGTTTGTTGATTTGATGGACCATACAGTGATTCCTTTCTGCAATTGTCAAAAATTCCCTAGCATAAATTACTGTTTTTGGAGATTAACAAAATAATGACTTCACACATGTTGTGAGCAATTTGTTTCACAAAGAACTTAGATATGAATATGAACCCAAAACAAGATGCCCACACAGTGAACAGGGTCCTCTAGTACCACTGTTAGAGAGTCGGAACAGCAGGAAAACTCGGGAATGTGCTAAATGGATTTCCTGAGAAGTTCTCCAGAGCATTGGTACCAATTAAACCGCCCCCTAATGAGGGATTTAAGCCTGCATCCCAGCAGGAAAGAGAGCAAGAGAACGGGAGGAATGGGGGCTGGGAGTCATGACTAACACTGTAAAGATTTTTCAGGTAAAGTTCAATGCTTTCAACCGTCGTCTCTGAGTTCTAATATGCTGGAAGGGGGTTCTTCTTTTTTGGGCAGGTTAATATCTATATGTTTTCAGACTGCTTGCATATACATGTGGGCTTGTGATGTTTGTGCCCTGGGCCTTACATTTTGGAGCTACAATAGAGTGCAACAGTCAGGTTTAGAAGTAAAAATCACATTCATTCCATTCAATCTCCCTACGCTACTTACATTTTTGTATATGTATGCATATTTTGTAATAAATGTAAAATATATTGTTTCTATATATAATCAACATCTTTAAATTAAAAGTTTTATGTTTCCCCATTGCTTTTAATTTGATTATGTCATTCACAATGCTTCACGGGATTGTAGTTACTTCCCTCATCAAAGCTGTTAAGTACACAGTCTTGTACCTTTGTCTTTAATGTCAGATTTTCAACAAAAAAAAAATGTTTGCATCAAATCAACGTTTGTAATGTTGATTCGCTTCATAGCTGGTTGATTTGCTTCATGACTGATAACCCTTAAAACTAAGACTTTTTTAAAATCACTGTGGGAAAAATGAATGGGGCAAAATACTTATGTAAATGAAAATACTATGTCATTTAGTTTAGTTTTTAAATTGTTCATAATTTACCTCAAATCTTTAAGCTGTCATCTTAGTAGCTCAACTTTAATAGTAAAAAATTAGTCTATGATCTGCTGAACCTGGAAGTGCCTATGTTTGTCTCTCAACTGTTTTGTCATTTGTATCATCAAAGCACCTTAATGAAGCACATCATTTCCTGTTCGGTGCATTGAGTTGCAGGGAGTGAAGAATGATATTTCCTCCCGTCTGGGGAGCGTGAGCGGTACTCTGACGCACAATGAACCCCTAAGACCGCTCTGCTTGTTCAGGCCAACGCTAATGAGACTGGAGCTAAAAACAGCGTGCTGTGTGTCTACCAGAGGGACATCCTTTCTGTCACACACATATGTTCTTGGCAGAGGCTTATTCACAAACTTGCATCCATGCACATATGCAACAGCTTGCAACCACCTGTGCAGTTCGGGTTGCTTTTAACCCACAGTGCACTTTAGCCTTTAGAAACAAGCTACACTCTGATAGTTGGGATCCCCCATGAGCGGTTTAGTGTATTCTGACTTGTTAATACATTTATTTTGTGTATTTGTTATCTAATATGCCTCTAAAAGGCATGGGCTAATACGTCAGAATCCAACAGGCCCCTAGACTGACTGTAAGATCGCTCTGTTTTGTTAGCGCAGATGAGATCGAGACCCCTAGTTGGTTCATTAATGGCACAGCATGACTGTAAACATAATGCGTTCGGAATTCGACTGTATTTCCTGGTTTTATTTTGCTTCCTGTGAAATATTGTGCAGCTCTGAGGGTCTACAGAGGAATAAATAGCACAGAGGTTGGATAAGGCTGATCGGGAATGGCTCATATGGATTAAAACTGAAATCTGTTATTCATGTAGCCATCATCCATAATCCAGCAAACTTCCAGTTGTCATTAAAATAATTTCATTCTAATCTAAAATAAAATTGAAAGAAAGAAAGAAAGAAGAAAAACAAAAACATATACACAAAATCTCATTTTTACGGTCAAGGAGATAAACACATTTCCATCTGATTTTCCAATTGATTTATCCACCCTTTCTCATAGACCTTTTCCGATTCTGTTTCACAATGTCTAATGGAAAGAGTCTCAGTAATTATTCTGTGTACTTCACATGTCACTTCTCCAAAAGCATAATTTATCTGAATTAAATGTATCCATTACGGTTGACACAGCAGTTATTGGAAAACTTTATGCAATCCTGATGCAGGCTGAACCAATGCCGTATAATGTTAATCAAGTTTGAACTGTTGATCTGGACTGTCTAGCTTCAGAGCAGATGCACTGCAACACAATTTTATGTTGCAGTTTAGCAGAGTTTTAGGTTTTGTATTACTTGACATACTTGGGAAATTTCTGATTCGGTAAGTCAGTTTGCATTTGAAGCCTGGTTTACAGTTCACATAATATTTCACAGGAGGATGCCATGTGCTGAGAGTCTTTTAGAATGTACTTAGACATGTAAATATTTCAAATGTTTTGCATCTATTTCATCACTGGTACATAAAGACAGAGGGTAGCACTGAGTACTGCCTATGTGAGTATATGATGGAAGTGAGTGGGTGACTCTGGGCACAATTACATAATTATTATGACTACTGCTTGAATGTTTTGTTGCATTTTCAGTCTGAAATTTTTATTTTATTATTTATTTATTTATTTTAAGAGCAAAGCACAGCTGTCATCTCTAATGGAAGACTGACTCACAAAACAGTCTGTGATTTTATAGCAGATTGGAAAATATATATCAGATGATGAAGTGTCATTTAAAATAAACTGCTTAAACAAATGAAGCTGACTAAACAAATTTTATTGCAATTAATATTTTATTTCATACACATTTTTTTTATTCTGTATTAATGTAGGTCCATATGGTGAAAGGCAAAGCTTAGAGAACAAAATGAAAATTAGCTTTTCCAACTCCTTTCTTTATATGATTTGTTTGAGTGGATGGACAGCTAATGCAAAAGTCAAATAAGTGTTGTGTTCTCATAGGGACATGGGATTATGGAAGCCCTAAAAGGCCATGGATTATTATTAGTTTTCTTGTTTTCTTGTGATCACGACTTAAGTTGTTTTTCGTTATCATGACTCGATTTTCTCATGATCTCGGCATAAAAAAGTTGTTTTCTTGACATGTCCGATCCATTATCCGACAGCAGCACTAACCGTAGATTAATAAAATAAAACAATTAAAAATACACAAATATCATTGAGTTTCTGAATAAATAAAGCAGTAGTTATGTCACCAAATCAAATAAAAAAGTTGTTATAACGAGAAAACAACTTTTTTATGTTAAGTATAGGTCTGTATAGGTTTGAATTCACCCTGCATTATGTTAAAATCCCAAATCCAACCTCTTCAATTAATTTTAAAAAAACGAAAAGTATAATAAAATTATATTTAAATAAATATTACAAATAAAATAAACTTATTAATTGGTTTGTTTTCAACTTGCTTTAATGACATTTGCGCTCAAGCTCAAAGTCCCAATGTTCTCCAGCATGATTTGAGATGCAAAGAACATCTTGTGCGTCAGTGGAGGACGAACTCCTGACTGTCTGTACAAAGGAGTTTGCTGTGTCAAGGAAATAAACTGATTTGTTTAGAGACCTAGAAATATTGAAGAATCTTAGATATTTGCACATAATCATTAAACTTTCTGTTTATTTACAGGTTTAAACTGGATTTTGAATAAGATTTTAAATTAAAAATCTTTGGACCCCTCTGTATATGCAAACATTATATTTTCAAACCCATTTAATCTTCAACAAAAAATCTTTTTGTAATTTCACAGAAAAATTAATCACTGTGTATGATGCAAGTCTTTGAAAAAAAGAAAAACGGAAAAAACAGACGAGAAGAGCATCATGGGAAAGTATAAAACAGACTTAATTTTTTGAGGCCTAAAAGTCTCGACCAGGCCATCAATTCACACATATGAGCAAACATTCATCTGTGTTTCTTGGTGAAGAAACTCTTCCATTGATGACATCTTGCAATGTGCAACCATAAAAGAGCCTTTCTGAACTGTTCAAAAATGCTAAATGTATTATTGAAGACTTCTACATTTTTCATACAGAAGGTGCCTAGGACATTTTTGTGTCTTTTCTTCTGGGCCCATTACATTACTTACATAGGCCTCTGTGCCACTACTGCCACATTTAAATGCATAAAAGATGCATTCCAGAATTCAGACCCCGTTTTGTTATTAAGGAAATCGTTTTATTGGTTTGTATTCTTGGATTTAAGTTCCAATTTAAACCATGGAGACTCTGTGCTTCAGGTATGTTTTAATGTTGAATCACCAGCTCATTATGGGTGAAAACGACTCCATTGGCAACATGAGACCGCTTCAGTCACAAACTACTCATCTGATACTGAAGACAGGTCAGACATAAAACACTCTGGTCTTAAAACGATTGCTTCTGTGAAAATGCTTTAATAGTTAATTAATTTAAAAAAAACGAAAAGTATAATAAAATTATATTTAAATAAATATTACAAATAAAATAAACTTATTAATTGGTTTGTTTTCAACTTGCTTTAATGACATTTGCGCTCAAGCTCAAAGTCCCAATGTTCTCCAGCATGATTTGAGATGCAAAGAACATCTTGTGCGTCAGTGGAGGACGAACTCCTGACTGTCTGTACAAAGGAGTTTGCTGTGTCAAGGAAATAAACTGATTTGTTTAGAGACCTAGAAATATTGAAGAATCTTAGATATTTGCACATAATCATTAAACTTTCTGTTTATTTACAGGTTTAAACTGGATTTTGAATAAGATTTTAAATTAAAAATCCTCAGACTTTGGACCCCTCTGTATATGCAAACATTATATTTTCAAACCCATTTAATCTTCAACAAAAAATCTTTTTGTAATTTCACAGAAAAATTAATCACTGTGTATGATGCAAGTCTTTGAAAAAAAGAAAAACGGGAAAAAACAGACGAGAAGAGCATCATGGGAAAGTATAAAACAGACTTAATTTTTTGAGGCCTAAAAGTCTCGACCAGGCCATCAATTCACACATATGAGCAAACATTCATCTGTGTTTCTTGGTGAAGAAACTCTTTCATTGATGACATCTTGCAATGTGCAACCATAAAAGAGCCTTTCTGAACTGTTCAAAAATGCTAAATGTATTATTGAAGACTTCTACATTTTTCATACAGAAGGTGCCTAGGACATTTTTGTGTCTTTTCTTTCTGGGCCCATTACATTACTTACATAGGCCTCTGTGCCACTACTGCCACATTTAAATGCATAAAAGATGCATTCCAGAATTCAGACCCCGTTTTGTTATTAAGGAAATCGTTTTATTGGTTTGTATTCTTGGATTTAAGTTCCAATTTAAACCATGGAGACTCTGTGCTTCAGGTATGTTTTAATGTTGAATCACCAGCTCATTATGGGTGAAAACGACTCCATTGGCAACATGAGACCGCTTCAGTCACAAACTACTCATCTGATACTGAAGACAGGTCAGACATAAAACACTCTGGTCTTAAAACGGATCACAAATGTGTTTCTGGTGACTGAAGTAAAGAAAAAAAAGATGCTTTATTTGTGGTTCTCCTCATAAGCAGTGGTTAGTCTGACAGAGATTTATTGTATTGTTCAGTAATACATAGGAGCTGGTCTGACAACTTTCCTCTAAGCAACATTACAAAATCTGAAATGAATCGAATTTGACCACTATTAAAATGTAAACATGTTTCAACATGTAGATTTAGCAGCCGGGAAATTATCTTAAAACTTTTGAGCAACAGGCTAAATTAGTGTGTCAATGTCACACAAAGGTCAATATTTATAGTCTCAAACAACGCCACTGTGTCACTGGACTCTATTAAACAAAATCTCCACAGACATCTAAAAATCCTCTCCGATCAAAAATAGACAGAATCTGCTTTCCAGAGGTGAGGTGTAATAAAGTAGGCCAAGGACTGCCACAGAAAATAGACTGAACACTGAAACTGGCCTGGATCAAATCAGGTCTTTGAGAAAAAATTAAAAAAAGGAGGTTAACTAGAATCTTCGAAGTCACGGGCATCCCTGGAGAGTAATGTGAGGCCCCACGAGCACTGATAAATGCAGGAGATTCAGTAGTAGAGATGGAGCGATCTCATCATTTTACCTGACAGGACACCAAACTCAAATACTAGCTGGCATATTAGTGTCAGTGTCACAGAAGAGAAACTGTTTATCTTAAGAGGAAATTTGTGGTTTCCTGTGGAATTCTTGAGACTCGGGAAATCATCAAAAATTATACACTATACTATGACTATACACCTTGTCTATGAGCACTACCATAAATAATGCAACTTATTACCATGAACTGCAGAACTACAAATTCAGTATTGTGGCCTGTCTAATATTGTTGGTTAAGTTTTTCTAAAAGCATGCTAAATGATTACATAAAAATGCAAAAGAAGCATTGAAAATTATTGTATTTTTAAATATATGTATTCTATTTTAACATATTTTAATGTAATTTTAAAATACCCCTGTCTTCAGTGTCACGTGATCATTCAAAGTTCTAAAAGAAATCTAAAAAAAATTGCTGATTTGGTGCTCAATTATTGTTGAAAACAGCTGTTCTGCTTAATATTTTTGTGGAAACCATGATAAACTTTAACAGTGATCCTTTAATTAATAGAAAGTTCCTAAGAACAGGATTTATTTGAAATCTTTCGTTACATTTGTATATATATGCCTTTATACTGTCATTGTTAATCCATTTAATGTATACTTGCTGAATACGAGTATTGAACTATAGTATAAATGCTTTATTTGGTTAGACTGTAGAGAATGCTGATGATCGTCATTACATTGAACAAAATACATGATTTTTAATGCTTTCAAACCATTTATTTCCAGTCTGACGCATAAACAGTCAATAGAATTCCCTTATTTGACAACAAGCAAACACACAAGTTTCTGTCTCCTAAAGGAAACCATGGAACTGCAAGACTTGAAAAAAAACTTGCAGTGTTTACTATGGTTAAAACTATAAATGAAACCCAGCAGTCAGAAGGAAAGAGCAGCACACAAACATTTTACCTGTTACAGACAGGTACAGGAACATATGTTAGTATGTTCAGCACATGATATATAAAAGTTTATATTACAGCTCTATTCACCCATTAGCGTCAATGATAACAGACTCGTTTATGAATATAACTCTTGCACTGTAAACTAGCAAAACTAATTTTAGATAGTCATTGCTTTTAATGATGTTGTGAGAGTAACTATAAGTAATACTAAAAGCATTTCACTGCACTGGAGTATTGTGGAGTTTGAGAAGAAATGTTTTGGATTAAAAATACCAAACTCTTCTAATGCAACGTGTCAGACAGATGGAAACAGGCTGCAGGCATGTCAAAATAAGAATGTGAAACAAATAAAAATTTGATTTTGGGTTTGATTCCCACTTTAGTGAGTGACCATGGCACAAAAGCAGCGTATGCATTAAAATATCTTCTTGTTACGCTTTGCAAAAGGAAAAAAAGCATCCATCCATATAAAACATGAGGTGTCCTCAAAACTGGCTACAGTCACACCCAACACCACATCACACATGCTATTCAGATTTTACAGAAACATTTACAACCTGCCTGACACAAGCAAAAACCAAAAATAGTTGTTTCCCATGTGCTTCCTGAAGATAAACCACACGCATTATGAATTCAAACTTAAGTTACACTATTTGCTGAACCACATCAGTCTTCTGGCACAATATACACTTCAAAATTCTGTAGGGTTGAAGGGAACATCACAGAGCGCTAATTACAAGTGAATGCAATCCAAAGTCTTCAGTGCACATGCACACGCACAAAAACCCTTTAAATAGAAGAACGTCTTTTTGTTTAGTCTCTAAATAGAGGCAAATGCATGTCAGAATTTTAACATCAGATCACGCACCAAAACGGCTTCAAGTATTACAGGGTGTGTATGAGGGAACGTGTAAGGCAAGAGAAACACTTCTACAGCTCCAAACTATACATCTAGAGACGACAAACTGGAACTGGGCTCCTCTGGGAATCTTCTGTGGTTTCATAGCTTGAATAATATGTTGTGAAATTGCACGCTTTGTTGATAAACTGTCCTAATGAAGTGAACAAAACGATGATGGTGAAACAGGAAGTAGTGCTTGGATTTCACAAAATCTATGATGGAACAACAAAAGCTCAGCGATCACTGATAAAGGCTATGCTTATGGACCCTTATGTGCACACACAGACATTACAAACTTGGCAAGTTGGAGTGTGTATACTGATGAGAACTGCTTCTTTTTCTTCCAGTCATGTAACAACAGCGCAACATTGTGGGAGCGCTGAATAGTGCAGATCTCCATTGCGTTTATTCAGAGGCTTTATGGGGTTTTCATGGCAATGGTCCACAGACACCGGCTTATTGACGGAGTAGGAAAAAAAGATAAGACTTAAGAACATAAAAATTCACAGCCATGTTTTATTCTCTTGGTTTTGTATCTCAATCTCCAACTTTAAGCCAAAGAGCAAAGCACTCCATGCAGTTTAGTCTTACATGGAGAGTCTGCTGAGGGTTTGGATGATTGATTATTTCCTCACACCGATGTCATCATCCTTCAGAATGAATTTCTTCCTCAATGCTTCAGATATAAGAGAGGCAGAATTTTCTTCCCTTAGTGAGGTGCAACCACGGTTATATCTAAATAAAAGTACACAAAACATTGTTTACTATATTTATTCATAATAACAAACAACAATAGGTATTAATATGCTGTGACTATTCATTCAAATAATAATTATTAGCATTACTATCATCATAAATTTAATACACACAATAACATTAATTACTATATTTTTAATAATATAAATCAATCGATCATTAATAAAAAAAATTATAGGCATAAATACACCATAATCATTAACACATTATTTATACTACTAATAACAACAATAATAATAATTATTATTATACATATCAAGTCCATAGAAATAATATTAATCATATATCAATATATCTTGTTATGAAATCATACAACACACAAAAAAATAATATACTATATTAATAAATGAATAATGATAATAAAGAATAACAAAAATAAAAGATAGTCACTATTCACTTTTAATAATTATTATTATTACAATAAATGTAACACTCAAAACACAATAACATTTACTATATTAATCATTAATATCAACCAATCAAAAATAACACACCATTACGAACACTGTTATTATTCATATATAATACAAATAAAATAATAATAATAAACATTAATATAATACATATGAATATGATAACAGTTGATTTATATTTATAATAACAATAACTTTTTTAAATTATTATACATGTCAATAGTAATAATATTATTGGTATATCAATATATCTGATCATTGTAATTATTAATCACCCAAAACAACAACATAATTTACTATATTAATAAATAAAATCAATAATAATAATAACAATAACAACAAAAAGCATATTATTAATATACCATTACTATTCACTTAAAGGGGTCATATGATGTTGCTAAAAAGAACATTATTTTGTGTATTTGGTGTAATGAAATGTGTTTATGCGGTTTAAGGTTAAAAAAAACACATTATTTTCCACATACTGTACATTATTGTTTCTCCTCTATGCCTCGCCTTTCTGAAACGTGTCGATTTTTACAAAGCTCATCGGTCTGAAAAAGCGAGGTGAGCTGTGATTGGCCAGCTATCCAGTGCGTTGTGATTGGCCGAATACCTCAAGTGTGTGACGGAAATGTTACATCCCTTACTACATTGTGATGCCTGCGGCAACCACATGTGACGACCCTGGGCTGGACTCCGCTTCGTCCACGGTGAAAGCCGATCCGGCGATTGACAGCGCGAAGTTTAAGTATTTCCTCAGCGACCAGCACGGATCAGCTCTAGGCATGACGAAGCGATATCGTCCTCTTTTGGAAGACCAAACAAAGTAG